AGGGTTTCAGAACGTTTGAATTTATTTCATCACTGGAAAGAATTCTGGCGAATCTTAAAAAATGGAATACCAGATAAGAAAAAGAAATGCGTGAAATATAGAATTGGTTAATTACCTTGGGATCTAGCATACAATTAATTGCATCTACCAGCTTTTGAAGTGAAAATTCCTCGACTGGGATTGGAGCAGGACCTACGCCCCTGTCATGCACTCTCTCTCCCCAAAAAGGTTGGTCACCAAAGAAAGGAATGATAGTCGTGGGGCACTGTATCGCCAAATTATAAATTTGTTATGCGAAAAAACCAATACATTATCATGTAACTAGTGAGGAAAAATGTTGCATGAGCAGAGATTTTAAAACACATGTAGTAAATCATTACCGCAGCTTTTAGACCAGCAGCCGTTGTTCCAGCACCCCCATGATGTACCTAAAAATTTTTGAAAAATAAAGGATCAGCTCCATTTATAGCTAAAAAATGCCTCAAAATAAACATGTAAAGATTCCTGGGAAATTGCATGACTCACGAGCAGCTACTTACAAGACTCATTATAAAGTTTCCAGGAGTAACATTAAAAAAAATCTCATTAACAAAGCATTTCCGTGCCACAGGAACAAAGAAAATCAAATTTTCATTTCTACTAAAAATGTCTGACAGGAATTTGTGTATGCATCAGGTTTCAGAATTGAAAAAATAATAAAATGGATCCTGGTAGAGAGAAATCTAATGGGGACAATGAACATTTTTGGCAGCAAGTCCTTGACAGATAATCAAAATGCCCAGGACAAATCTATCTAAATAGGAGAATACAGCTAGAGTGGACATGAAAAAGATAAAGAAAAATAAGATATTTCAATAAAAAAAAAAGGTATAAATGATGGTGCAACATCTAAACATAATAAAACAACTAACCACAGCAGCACATTGCAAGAAAAGCCAGTCGTGAGGGCAGTTATCCAGCAGATATACGAAGTCCTTTTCTTCGGCCACTGTGAACAAACGTTAAATTGCGGATAAGAATATGCATAACAAAAATCCATTGTATTCAGCGGATATGAAGAAGGAAGGAAAAGAGTACTCACAATTGCCAAGGCCACCCCAGCCTTTGTTAATGATGCCCCTTTGTTTAGTTATTTCTAAAGCTTCAACAATAATTTGTGTCATCTTTTCTGGTTCTTGAACAGGCTGAGATGGTAAAGAACAAGGTTAAATTTGGAAAGTATTAAAACATATGGAAACAGGAGCCGAGTCAAAGAAGCTGAAAAGCATGAAATACATCATGGGCATATTGTGTATGCAAATACAAACCTAAAGAGCAAAAGCTGTTATCAAACCCAAAGCAACAAGAAAAGTAGATTTTACCATACAGCAGAATCTCACAACTCCTTCAAGAACATAAATTCTTGTCATAAATTTCGGATTCAATTTATAAGTGTCAAAATGGTGCCATAAGCATGTTTTCCGCTAATAATTTTATTTCCACATTTGTTTTTCATATGTGGAAAGCCCTTGTCAATAAAGTGAACTCTTATCTATTATATTGATCCTCTAAATAATTTCAAATCAAAAAAATAGTCAAAATAAAATCTTCAAGAACAAAATTATTTCAAGTAACTTTCAACTTTCCATTTACACCAACAAAAAGGAAAGAAACAATTCAGAATTTTTAAAGGGACCAGGACTGAGACTCTTCTCTTATCTATTTAGTTTCAATTTCAAGGAGGTGAGACAAAGGGGCAACTGTGGATTTATGGGCGTCAAGGATACTCACAAGGCTGCCAAATCCAATATAAATAGGCTTTGGACCAGCTTTAAGCCAGTTCAAAAGTGACTCTGGCGGCTCATAATTTGTTGCAAGATCAAGAAAGCAAAACCCAACCACATCAACCTTTGGTCCCCAATCTGCAAGACCAAATATGGCTAGAAACCTCAATAACAATTGCTGATGTAGCATTCAAAAGGAATGGACCAGTCATTTATAACTCTACAATAAGAAGATGCTGAGAAACTTTCACCTTTTGGTTTAGGGACTAGGTGTGGGCTCCAAATATATCCATGCGGGATATTAGACTCGGAGCCCTGAGATCCACTCAAGTATGTGACAGGCCGTAACTTCAGCTTTTTTTTCCTGACATCATTTATCATGTCTCTTATTCCAAGCCAAATCAAGGAGTCAACAATCTGATAGGATAACTGCAGCATCATTCAAGAAAAGATATCATAAAAAGAAGGAATACAGTGATGACACTTAATAGACAAAGACATTGAAAGAAATACAAAATAAACAGATTCTTCAAACACACTCTATATCCAGCTGATTGCTTAACACGAGACAACGGGTGGGNAGAAGATGAAAATTATTAAGGAAAGACAAGAAAAAATGTGTTAAAAAAGTAGGAAAAAAATAATGATTCTTATGACGCACTCTATATCCTGCTGATTGCTTAACACGAGATAAAGGATGGGGGAATTCACTGGTTGGCCTGGCAGAAAAATACTAAAATTTAGAAACAAATACAGGGGATTCACATAAAATTAGAGATTTCTTATCATTTGCAACCTAGGTTCTTTGACAAACCAAAAAAGGAAAAGTACATATTTATGGGACGAAAAATCTAACAAGAAAAAATACTTACGTCCATGGCATGGTGAAAAATATATGAATCGGTATTTTTAATGCTTCTGCAACGTGTGTATGCCCTGTAGTGATCTCCAGGTTAGTAGAGAAATAATTATGCAAGTAATCAAATATCAGAAATGGAAAATGCTTATATCCAGACAAGAACAATAAAATGATCCACAAGTCATGTAATATAACCATATGCTGGAGGATTAGCAATGATTGCATCTGCCTTGAAAGGAATCCCAGAATCGATGTCAGGCTCTTTGCATGCGGGAAGTAGAGAATAAATTATTTCCTTCATTTGATTTCTTTGTACAGGTATTTCTGAAGGCCCAGAAGGCAAAAACCCTTTGTTTTTAACCATGTCTGCGGAATACAAACAAAAAGAAAGATTCATAAGTTCATTGCTTATATAATTTATATATTACAATTAATCAGTGTCCTCTCATAAACATCCTGATAACAGACCTAGACCAAATTTTGTTAAACGAAAGTTGAATATATGTCCTAAGAGAAAAGGCTGGAATCTGCTTACGTGATACCAAAAGACGAAACTAGAAGAACTTAGAAAATGATGACAGGAGGAAACAAATGCAGTTCAAAGGAAATGACTCAATTCATCTACTGGGTGGACAATGACGAGCAATATCATACCACAAAATGTTTTGCATCATAGGTTTCCCATTTGTGCTAAATTCAACTGTTGAAATCCGAATCTGAACCTACTGAAATGAAGCAATGTCCTACTATGTCCGAGTTCAAAAATATTAAAAATATCATAATAAGGTTGAAAACCAAAGCAAAGGCCAGTCATTAGGCATAGATAAACAAGTTCAAGTCAAAGACACTGAAGGGTATATGCACAACTTCTGGTATATTCCAACAACACCATACTCAATCGATACTCATTGACCACATGCATTGTTATTTGTAATCATCATCAATCAGAATGTGATAAATCAAAGCCGTCTGATATATTGGATTCACAAACATAACTCCAGCAAAGAAAAAACAGCAGTAGAACATACATCCTGCAAGAACTTTCGGGTCACCACCAAGGGGATAGAATTCCAAGCCAGAGGTCAACACGAACTCTTTGAAATTGGAATGAGTAGCCAATCTGACACGATGGCCATAATCCTGCACCCAAACATCCTTGTTAACAGTTTCACAAAGAAGCCAGAGAGAGTCTGAGCTATAATAATCGGGGTAAATTTTATATGAAAATATAATCTTTCTTCTTTCAGAAGGAAAGTAAACCTTGTCCACCTTTCTACAAATTCACCTTATTAATTCAAAGTTAATTTGAATTAAGAGAGATAATGAGCATCTACAGATTCTAATTCATACCTGTAGCCGCTTTCCAATTGCAACAAATGGTTGTACATCTCCCCGAGTTCCAACAATAAGCATTACGATTTGCAGTGGAGGAATATCCTGAAGTTCTGTTGCATTAGGCGGCTCGTCATCCACTTCACCGTACACACTTTCGTTTCCAACTCCAAGATTTTGAGGTTCAACATCTACTGGAACTTCAAATTCTACAGTTCCATCATGTTTGACTGTAGCTATTCTGTTCAACAATTTGAGCTGCAGGGCTTTAAATGCTTAACAAAGATCCCATACATGTATTCTGTTATCAACTTCAGATGCAGTGATAACGAACATCCCATACATGTAGTGAAGGCTTGGCCATAAGTGAGGTACAGAAAAATGGACAACTAAAAAACAACACAACACTTGCTTCTGTGACACATTACTACAGTGGAAGTTCTGATGAAAAATGTATGGAAAAAAGCAACCAAGCAAAATAAACATGAATGGTAACTTAAAGAAAGGGAATTCCACATTAAAAGAATCATCCAACATGGCATAAAAGTTCGCAATATCCCAAAAGACTATTGCAGGAGTTCCTGAATCCGAAACGAAAATCTTAGAGTAGAAACAATCAGTCAAAGGTATAAGTCTCTACAACACCACAAACCTATTCAATTGGTCAAAAAGCCACAAAATACAAATACACAGTTAGCTAAGGATTGCGAGTTACATTTCTACCTGTTTGACAATTCTAATATTTCAATAATAGCTCGCTAAACCTCTTTAACATTATCTAGTTCAACACTGCACCCCTCTAGCCCCAACTGAGGCCATACTGGGTACACATATCATCGAAAATAAATGTACTGATTTCACTACCTTCGACCACATCGACTTTTCTATTTTAGAAACTGATGTGTCACATTACCCATGCAACACTATTTCCTTATAACAAGCACAGGCATGTTGCGATAAAGTTGCTTTTAGAGACATATTTAGGATTCCGCAAGATATAACCACATAAAGACATAATTCAGATTCCACACAAAGTAAACCACATTACGTTATATCCTTAATCAAATATCCTTAATCAAGCAAAGACATGTTGCCAAAAAGTTGCTATAGAGACACAATTCAGATTCCACGCAATGTAAACCATATTACAATATAACCACAGATACTCCAACAGAGACAAATACCTTCTGTTGCACAGGCATACGATCATCAAAAATCTGAGCAGCCTCTTTAGCAAGTACATTATTCCGCCTCTGCCTCTCGGTCTTCGATCTCTCCAACACCAAAGGCAGATTCAGCTTCTCAGAGCTGAAAAATTCCGGAGGCGTTGTGTTTACCCTAGAAAAATTCGCCCCTACATTGCCTGCGGAGATCAATACCATCATTCTCACATTTTCTAAATCCATCCAACTCAACACGTCAAAACAAACATAATCCCCAAATCCTACACACAATCCACCACAAACACATCGTGCACTCGTCAGCTTACTCCAACCCTCACCGCTCATCCAATCAAACCTCGATAGGGTAAAACACGAAGAAGAAGAGATACTTCACCTGAAGAGCTGCTGCCGCCATTTGAGAGCGGAGCTGCGCTAGCAACCTCCGGAGCATCTTTCTCGAACTGAACGGAAACTTCACCGGAACTAGTAGAGGCGGCTTCTCGAGGCGGCGACATGGCCGGAGCCGCCGGACTCCGCTTGTGATCCAGATCCGGTGAAGCTTCGATTGACATGGCTCCTTAGTTCAAAGTATGTTAATTAATTATATATAATCATGTACGGACATTGCAAGCTTGATTGGTTGCATGTATGAGGGGGAAAAAGAGGGCGGGTTCACGTTGAGAAGTGGGTAGAGTAGACTCTGCTTTGATAATTTTAGCAGAAAAGAGAGAAACTGCTAGAGAATGGCCATTTGTCGGGATAACCATAAATAAACGCTAGACACTTTTTATATTTTATTCTTACAATTACTTGAAAATTTATAATATCAAAAGGAGGGTAAGGCTACAAATGGGATATACTAATTCATCTCTCTCTATAAGTTTAAGTAGCAGACTCACACGCTTCGGATGCTGATATAGCAAAAATTTATGTTTCGGAATATTATTTGTATATTCATTTTTTCTCTGAAATTAGGCTTGGTACAGACATAAATAATTAATTCAAACTTGGTAAGTATATATTTAATTTTGTTATTTCTTTTCTCTTAGTATAAATTTTTTTCTTAATTTGGACAAGTAGCATTCTTACCATCTTATAATTTTCTCCCAAATCTTTCTCTTAAATTACGATTTACAAATCACTTTATGCACTGTCTGTTCCTTTTTTTCATCTATTAGTCCATCAAAATTTTTAAATAAAATTTTTATTTTAACAATAACTTTTATTATATATTTTTTAACTCAACCCCCGTGTAGTACACGGGTATTGTACTAATTTTTATTTATTTATAAATGTTTGATGGACATTTGTTGCAACATGTATTAATACATTAATTCACAATTCGCTGACTTAAACGAATTTTCAATTTATATAATTTAAATATATATATTAATTGTAAACAAAGAATTTAATGGAAAAGCCAATTTTTTTGTTTGTTCAGCTAAATGTTAGCTAAAGGAATTAATTTTTTCAACTCGATAATCAAGTTCTTATAAAAATTTATTAATTTTTGGACATTATCAAACCTCGTAAAATTTTATACAAAATTGGTATAGTAATAACTTTAATATTTTTTTATCTAATTAATTGGTCATTATTACTCAAAAATGCAAAAATTACATAACTGCACTCAATATAGTGATTCATATATAAGTTAAATTATGTATATTTTATATTATTTATTTTACTAATGATAAAATTTATAAAATATTATATATTCATTATTAAATTATGATTTTAAATATTATATACACACATATAACTTATAAAATTTTGTTTGTATCTGCTCATTTGTACATGATTGATTTCTTATTCTTTAATATAATTCCCTAACTTTAATCTATTATGCATCAAATAAATCAACAACTATTCAATTTACATATTATTTGTCATATTGTTTTTGGTAAAGTAACACCTAATATTAATTTCATTTTGAAAAGTATAAAATAATAATCTCCTTAAATATGTGTACACGAAAACAATAAGAATTTAAAAAATATGTTAAACCAAGAGGAATATATTAATTTGGATAGTGAAAATGAAGCCAGCTTTTAAAAAAGTTAGTGAACATTTTTTTGAATGGATAAAAAGAAATAAAGGGAAAAAGTTGGAACGACATTGGATGAAGGTCGCATGGATTGAACGTGACTCGGCCTCAATTGTATTTCACGTACTTTCTTACCAAAATGTGGGAATTGGTAAAAATAGATTTTTTGTTTCCAACTTAAATACAATTTCCACTATACAAGATGTGTTCACCTGAATGGGGGAATCGTAACACTGTGTAGAGGATTATTGGTCAAGATCAGTGTTCTAAAAGTCGCTAAGCGCCCGCTAGGCGCTCGACCAGTGCCTAGCGCCTAGAGCGCCTAGTCGGGCCTAGGCGGCGCCCGCTAGGCGCTCGACCAGCGCCTAACGCCTAGAGCGCCTAGTCGGGTCCTTGACTCAAGAGTTAAAATCAGGCAAGTATAGAACTTTCATTTTTTGTTGTTATTCATTTCGGAAATAATAGTGAAGGATATTATTAAGTACAATCACGCTTTTTTCATTACATATAATTTTTTTAATTGAAATATTATATTTTAAAAAATAATAAATAAAAACATAACATTTCATATAAATATTTATTTTTATAGAGAAAAATATATAACATTACCGTTTTCTCCTAGATCAACCTACATTAAGTATCTCATACGAAAAATCGTGTGATGGCAACTTTTTTGACATTGAATTTTTTGCACAATATTAAATTTCAAAATACCATAGATAAGTAGACAACTGACTTTAGAGCATCTACAATGCATTTGGTCTAGTCTTGCCTATGTGGCATTGAAATAAACCCAAGTCTTAGATAACATGGATAAAAATTATGTAAAATTAACAAAATCCACTCCAATGCAAAGAGACTAGGTCTCTGGGTCTAAAATAGACTTAAGGGGAGACCGGGTCTTTTTTCTGGCTGCCACATCAACAGACCCAGTCTACTTTTATTTGCATTGGATAATATATTTTTTTAGACTTGGTCTATTTTTTATGTGGCATATAATTTTTTGGGATTGAACCCCAAGCATTGTGGATGCTCTAAGAGTCGTGATTTTTTTTAGCTTTTTATTCTTTTGTCTCTAGCCCAATTTTTGACAAAAGATGTACAGTTAGAAAATGTGTAAGAGCATGATTGGATATGAATCCAACCCAAAAAAATTCAATCATTTTTAACTCAACAACTTTTTTTAACTCAACTTTAACTCAATCCCACTATCATCAATATTATCAATTAATTAAATAATATCAATCAATCATTCTTACACAACATCAACCTTAATTCACTATTCATCAACTCACATAATTTAACTATCACATCACATCTTCTCTTTCCTACTTTTACATCAATTTAATTTTAATCATTTTATTTTAAATATTATTTTAATATACTCACTAACAACTAACCATTCCAATTTTTTCAAATTTAACCAACCCAAACCAAAAATCCTATCAAAACAAAAACTTTTTATATCCAATCACGCTCTGGATTTTAGTTATATATTGTAGGGTTCAAGAAAAAAGATCATCTGGTTCGCATCTTGCTGCGCAAATATGGGGAAACTTTCAAAAGTCAAACGTAAAACCAGCATATTATGATTACAAAATGTTTGGTAATACTCAAATTTAAGACTAACATATTATATTTACAAAATGTTTGGTCCACTTAGAAAATGTTGATAAAGCCAGTGATCCGCACAAGTGGATTGGTTTATCAAACTGAGTCATAAATACATATAGTTTTATGCTGTTTATAAAGCAAAGTTCACAGGACCATAACTAAGCTGATTTTGCAGATTTTTGGAATATAGTTCAGTCAAAAGGAATAAACTCATCACATTCAATTGAGTAAATACATATATAGCTAATGAATAGAAAAACTCAGATATATAGCTGTATTTCCATGAAATTGTATCTAGATAGAGCTCGGTTAATGGAGTCCTATTGTCTATTTCGTGGTCATCTATGTATTGCATTGGCCTTCTGTATTAAATCGTAAACAGAACAACCCGCCATACAATTCACACACAGAAAGCAAGAATCTTAAAACATGCATTAGCTTTTCTCATTTACAGCACAGAACAGAAGCTCAAATAACAAATGGGGTCATCTTTAAATAATTACAAACAGAAATATAGAAACCCTATATGAACTCCTAAAAACATTAAAACTATACCTCTTAGACATCTTTATACAGCAACTGAAACTTCGGTATACGCTCTGGGGGCAGTGGACAACTTACAATCAGCTTGCCTTTCATGGCTCCTCTGTATATTGCCTGCAATCAAACGAAGATAAAAACCTCATACACGCGCCTTATACAAACAACATTTTCCTAATATCTAAGACTAACATTCAGTTGCATTGCAAGTTTTAATAAGCTCACCCAAATATTTATTCCCTATTCGGTCACTATTTTACAAGAAGATATCCATGACATTCGGCAGGTCATTATTAAAGATTAGCTCCCTGGAAAAGAACTTAGAAGTTGTCACTAGTCTCTTTTTCATGAAAGGCAGAGTTTCCCAAAAAAAAAAAAATAGAAACTGAAAAAATAGAAACTGATATCATAAAAAAAAAACTGAAAAGGATTGATTGTTTGGTGTTCATGCACCAACGTCATAAGGCGATTAAACAGATATTTAATCAGTGTTGTTCGTGCACCGAGAGGAATATAGCAAAAGAAACCTGAATATGAAATCCTACTCAGACTTCTTATACATATGTCAATCAGAATTATAGGACTTCGAGAACATGTTATTACGAAAATTAACACGATAACTTGAATATTCAGTAGAAGATTACCTCTACAACATCAATGAAGTCCTGTTTCGTCTGAAATATACCGACCCACTTAGTGTGGTCTGCACTTCTGCAAGAAGTGGGGAATAACTATAAGCAAATTCAAACAAGGTACTACTTCCCATGTATAGGGTGCAAACAGAAAGCATCTCAACAAAACCCTTCTTAAATCATTCATAAAACATTCTTATCTTTGAAAAAAAAAACACAGATCCAGTTCTGCTTGGCTCAATCTTAGTCTTGGATACCAAATGAGTCCTTAAAATGGAAAATTAATCAGAAAAATAGCACGAAAGAGTGTACTACTTTCACAACAGAATGTACTGTAGTCGATACTCCAGATAGCAATTGATTAACGAGGGTGTGCGTTCATACCCTGAGTCCATCTTCATGTGGTGAGCATTGAAGAAGAAAATGGTGGAGGGGATGAACGAGATGTCGAAATACTTGACGTAAACTTGAATCTCCTCCGAGTCGACATCCACCAGCGCCACTGTCGCGAATCTGGAGACGTCCCTCGCCGATTTGTACAGCTACCAATGCAATCGATTAGTAAGCAAATCGCAAAAATCCAGCCCCAAATAAAAAAAGAAAAATTGGGAGAAAGGAACATACAATGTCGTCGAGCTGGAGGCAGACGGCGTCAGAGGAGCGGCCAAAGCGAAGAACGAGGACTTTGTCCAAGGTGTCTCTGATGAGATTGTCGACCTCTGTCTTTTCTCTCAGCGTTGGGAGCAAATACTCCATTGCTGGCCTCTGGTGAAGGTATTCAGTTGTCGGCTTAAATTGTACCCCGATCAAATTAAAAGGTCAAAAGATTAAACAATAAATAAATAAAAAATAACAAAATAAATGTTAAATTACAATTTAGAGTTGTGTGAGATTTTTTTTTTATTATTATTATTATTATTATTTTTGGGATAATAGCTAGCAATTCATTAAATAAAATCTTATAAATTTTACCTCATAAATTATATCTACATAGCAACTAAGCAAAAACTATTACATTTTATATTAATTGAGTAATTAATATTAATAATAATATATTTTACACTAAATGATATCTATATCTATATATATTGAAAGAGTAATGCTACATTGCCAACCTAGTATACAACTAGGTTGACAACACATATGAAAACATTCAAAAAAATAAAAATAAAAAAAAAATACATAAGTGGATGTTTTCACTTGTGTTGTCAACCTAGTTGTACACTAGGTTGATAATGTAGCATTTTTCATATTGAAAAAGGTTGATAGTAAAATCACTTATGGAAAGTTAAAAAAACAGGTCAACACCCTTGACTTCCCCTTTTTGGAAACTAATTAACAAATCCGAAAATCCATTAGATTTTTTATTATCTTTTAATTTAAATCATCTAAAAATCAGTTAGTTGCCATTTATTCTGATCCGGAAATCTATTAGTTACCAATTAATCCGATTTTTTTAGAGTATGGAATAAACATCCCACGTTTCACGCAACAATATCATTTAAGAAATTTATCACTATAATAATCGAATCTTTTGTTAGAAAAGGCCAATCAAATTCAACTTCAAAATTTAAATTTACACTAATTATGCAATTGATGATAAATCAAATTTATTTTTACTATAAGTAAAAATATTTTTTTTTCAAATCTTCATGTGTCATCGAATATGGTCACCAACCTGCACAGTAATGTAAAATATTACATTTACACACGATTTCAACATCCAATAAATTAAACACATTGATGCATCCATCTATAAATAAGTATAAACAACTTATGTGCATAATCTGATAGATGTGCTTTTTATTCTATTAATTAAATATATTATTAATAAGTAATAAGGCTTATAAAAAATACGTTCAAAATATTTCTTCTTATTTAATATTCTATGTAGAATCAAACTATAAATATGCTAATTAGAAAATGTTAGTTATGAGTTATAAAAATCAATTGGATTCCTATTGGATGTAATTTTTATAAGGGAAAAAATCTTTTTCACCCCAATACAAAGATACATTAAGTTTTTCACACCGCCCACTAACAATCTAACTTTTTCACCCCAGAAAGTGCGAAGGTTATGCGAATGACTGCATAACTATCGCATATCAAGTGCACAACTGTCGCATATTCATCGCGCAAATGCCTTCGCACTTTAACTATTTCCACCACATAGAGTGCGAAGGGATATGCGAATGCCTTCGCACTTCTAACTTTCGCACAATGTCATCGCGCAACTTTCGCATATTCATCGCACAATGCCTTTGCACTTTAACTTTTTCCAGCACTTTGCGAAGGGATATGCGAATGCCTTCGCACTTCTAACTTTCGCACAATGTCATCGCGCAACTATCGCATATTAATCGCACAATGTCTTTCGCATTTTCTGGGGTGAAAAACTTAGTTTTTTATTGGGCGGTGTGAAAAACTTAGCAAAACTTCAAAATGGGGTGAAAATAACTATTTTCACTTTTTATAAAATATGCTATATATTTACTTAAACAGTGTGAGCAATAAAATCGCAAATTTGTTGCCAACTATAGTCAAAGCTAATCTATTCGATATTATCACAACCTAAAAAATTTGATTTTTTTGACATCTAAACTAATCAACAATAAATGATTGACTAATATAAACATTTATCCATATAAACTAAAATTCTTAAGAGATACACTAAAATCTAAATCCAAATTTTTAACATATATCTAACAATAACCGATAAGCACAACAATATATATAAACCTAAGATCAGTTAGTTATTCTTATATACAAACCATGCCACATAAGAGGTACACAGTGTATCTATTTTACTTTTCTCATTATTTTCTTCTTTGTTTGATTAAATGCCATGATTGAATCAAACTAATTAGGTGTTAATTTGAAGATTCTACCATAACAAGGTGCTACAAGTCGACATAACACAACTCGTGGAAGACGGATCAACATAAGCAGACTTGATAAAAATACTGATACAAGTAATCTTTTAAAGTGTGTTTATTGTTTTACCTAATTTTTTTGTACAATATCATAACGTTGTGTAAGTTTTTTCAGTCTTAAATTTTCATGAACATAAAATTACTATGGGTGTGTGTAATTTTAAGTCTGCATTTTGTACAAATGGTGTGTCCGAATTTGATGACAACAATATCGATAAACTGAAGCTCGCAATTTAAGGATGAATTCAGTAGATTTAATAAACAACATAAGTCTTTTAATCACTGTTTTGTGACCCGGACCGGCCCGGCAGGTCGACCCGGGACCCGGCCGACCCGGAGCCGGAACCGGTCCGGGTGGAGTATTTAAATCGGGCAACCAAGGACCCGGTCAAGACCCCGTCGAGACCCGGTCGACCCGGGGCATTAACCCGGCCGGGTCAACCCGGTTGACCCAGTCTATATATATTTTTTTTATATTTTTTTTATTTTTTAAAAATAAAACTATGTATATATGTTTATATGGTAAATATTTATCATGAGATACATATTATTAACACTTTAATATACAAATTTTATACACAAAACATTTAATTTTGTTACTTTTATGTATATTTATATAACAAAAATACTCTATATATAATTTTAAAAATTTTAAAATTAATTATCCGGTTCAACAATTGACCCGATGACCCGACGGTTGAACCGGTGACCCGGTGACCCGAGGACCTGCCCGGGTCGATCACCGGGCCGGGTTTAAAAACTATGCTTTTATATTACCTTTTTTGCTCCAGTTTTTGAAGCCTTAGTGAACTTCGACCAGATGTTATTGACATTAAAGTCACTATTAATGATCTAATGAAAACAGAAACATAAAAAACAATAGTATAATTGCATAAGGGGTTATTTAACACAGGCCTGTTTGAACATAGGCCTTGTTCGAATATGTTTTATGAACAGTGGCCCTGTTCGAACATTTATGCATTGAACACAGGCCCTTTGTTCAAATCAAATGCATCAAATATACCTCACACTTTTGTAACATATTTACATACAAAATGGGACAACAAAATCGTTATCATTTCCAAGGTTATAGGTCAATTTGAGGTCGAAATACGTAAAGACATACGATTTTCACTTCCCAGATTCGTCAAAAACTACAAAACTAGAAAAAAAAAACTTGAAAAATAATTAATCAAACTTTAGATATCATAAAAAAGAAAATCAAAAAACATAGATCTATACAATGGTGTTGAAAAAACAAACGATGCATAGTATCATAGAACTTACATAAGACATATAAAAATTATATATTAAAACATAAGATCAAGCTTACAAGAAGGTGTTGATTCTTAGAATGTATAAAACTCCTTCCGATCTTAGAGTTGCATTTAAGTTCCAGTTCCCACTTATGGTTTTGTATTCCATGACTAGGGGTGTTCATCGGTCGGTTCGGTCGACCGACCGAACCGAACAACGAAAACCGAATTAACCAAAATGCTATAAGTCAAAAACCGAACCGACCGAAATGTATCCTTAAACCGAAAATTAACCGAACCGAATTATTTGGTCGGTTTGGTCGGTTAACCGAATGTTTACAAAAAATAATTCAGAGATTCAGAACTCAGCATTCCCAAGTCCCAACAGGACGATATAGAAAATACACTTACATACATGATTCTCACAAACATAGATACATGATTAACCAATTCAGTCAACATGAACATCTCACAATTCACAACACATACATGATCTTCACTACCAGTCTGCAATTAAAAAATAAAACAAAAAAGACTTTGTACCTTGATTGGAGATTGAACTGAGATTTTGGGAGGGAGACGAATTCGCCCTTGACGGTGAACAACCGTGTGCCCGCCCGACGGTTCGACGACCGGCGAGAAGGAGTCACAGCTTCTGGGGACGATTTTTTACGAGAAGATGATTTGGGCGATTTAGGGGGAAGGAGGAGCGACGGCGGTAGATTGGGGATGGCGGACGATTTGGGGAAGGGAGACTTATTGGGATATTTGGGGAAGAGAGACCGACGGACGATTTGGGAAAGGGAGATGGAGAGCGGAGGAGCAGCGGCGGAGGATTTGGAGACAACGGCGGAGGATATGGGGAAAGATTTCTGGAATGCGAAGAAGGAGATAGGATTTAGGATTATGTTAATGTATATTTGTATTAAAATATTATATTATAATATATAATATGATATTATCTATATATATATATATATATATTTTATTCGCTCGGTTCGGTTTTTTCGGACATTTTATGTCCGAAACCGACACCGACCGAAAAAACTGAAAATTTACAAATTGAAAACCGACTACCGACCGAGTCGAACAAAAACCGAACCGAATTGGTCGTTTCGGTCGGTTCGGTCGATTTTAGTCGAATTTTGAACACCCCTAGCCATGACCATAAACCAGAGTCACTATCGCACGTTTCATATTCTCGAAGAAATCTATTTTTAGTCACGACTAATTATGTTGTTGTTTCACGTGTACCTAATAGAAAGAGCTTAAAATATTAGACTATTGGAACGACGTATACGAGGTCTTTAATAATATATGATTTTTTTTGTGATGAACATTTTATGATTTGACAGTTTCGTATTTAACACTTTTATTTATTAATACACTCTAACTTATTATATTCCCCAAATAAATACAGCCCGTGCATCGTACGGGTTACACACTAGTTTAAAGTTACATAAACATAAAAAAATTAATTGTAAAACTTTTTGTTCAAATTATTTATTCTAAAATCAATATTATATTTTTTTATATGATAAAATAACAGTTTTTTTAAATAAATTAATTTATTTTAATGTCATAGTAAAATATCTTAAAATTGCATAAGTAATTGTTATAATAAATTTAATACTTTTCAACAATTAATTGGTTATGATCTTTGAAAATTATAAATATTATATTATTTGCTACGTTTATTTTTTCAAGTTCGTGCGTGTAGTTTTTTCTCTCTTTCTCTCTACATTATAATTTATATAACAAGTAAAATGCATAAAACCCTAACAAACAATTTATTGACCGTGTACTTGGATTTACAAAAATTAAAAGCTGCCGACTCTTATTACTAAAATTGAAGGATTGAGATTAATTTGCAAACAAAATAAAAATTGAAATTTAATATGCATTTGTATTTGATTATGTGCATTTGCACATATATAAAACACGTTTTTGTTTGTATTTATTAATTAGACATGTACTTCTATCATATAAAAATTATTACTTTCTTTAAGTTATTTTTATCATTCAAAATTAATTGAGATTTAAATTTATTTTAACCATGCAACGTTTACATTAGTAACGTGAATAAAATAATTTATATATTTGTGGCATATATTAAGAAAATTAACATAAATAAAAAAAATATTGGTGTTTTTGATTTTTAGAAAAAAAAAGTGCTAATCATATTTTTTTTTCAACAATACAACCAAATATAGCGGTTACAGCTCTAAATGTGCCAATCAACTTTAAGTTCCAACATTAACCGTTATACATTTAAATACTTTGCTACCAAATTTAAAATTAATATAGTAACTAATCCAAGAAAATAAATAACAAAAATATACTATATATTAAGGTGTAACGTTTTTAGCAAATTAGTGACTAATTAATTAAAAAAAATGTAACTCTTTTTGGAAGAAAATGAAAATAAGTTTTATTAAATGTTATGATTAAATACATCAGTTAGTAATTATGTATATATAGATTTTAGACTAATATTAATTACTATTATTATTATTATTATATTATTATTATTATTAATATTATAATACTATTACTAAAATTAATTATATAATTGGGCTGTCGGTAGCCCAATTCCAAAAACGTTGTCAAAAATCTGATTCAGGCTAGGGTTTATCACAAAGGGGCCAAATTTGAAAGAAAAATAGAAACCCGCGCAAGAGAAAATTGTATCTGCTCGAAGATAAATCAACATGACCAGCAATCCGTCGCAGCTCCTCCCATCAGGTTTTATACATCCATATAAATGAGTTTAGTTCTTTGTATGTGCACTTGTTCGAGTGAAAGGAACTGTCATTTTTGTTTGTGATGTGTTTAATTGGATTTTTCCAATCGATATGCTGTGAACTCAGAGCTGATCGATCGGTGCATCGGTTCGAAAATATGGGTGATCATGAAAGGAGACAAGGAGCTCGTGGGTACTCTTAGGGGCTTCGATGTTTACGTCAACATGGTGTTGGAGGACGTCACTGAATAGTCTGTACATTGCTCCACAATCTCTGGTTTTTGTGTGTGTGTGTGTTAGAATGCCTTTCCTTCTATATATTTTTTTGGTGCATTTTTATTTTTTATTTTGGTTTTGATTTCGTAGACTTATCCTTGTGGATTTCATTTACACTGTAGCTCCCCCATTTGCCTATTTGTTTGTTTGTTTGTATAGTCAAGTTGTATACTACTCGTTGAAATACTCGATTTTTGTTAACTGCTTGATAGATTGCAATGGGGACACAGTAGATGAATCAGTGTTTTAATGTATGTGATGTGATGACTGGAAATATTCTCGTCACAGGAGCAATTAGTAAAAATTTCTGCACACTGAGGAATGCTGGTTTAGCTTATGTTTTATTTACATTTTCAGCGTTTTTTTCCTCTATCCTTAGTGGTAAACATTTTCACTTGTTTGGGACTTCAGTTGAAGAATTATGTAATAAATGGACAGTTTAAAGAGAGTGAAAACATCAAGAAATGGTGAGTTGTATGCTTAGGACACGTAGTAAAGGCGTAGAGTGTACAGGAGGAGTCTTGATACCTAGAGCATAAAACAAATCAAATATGGTCAGTGTGTGGGTTCTCAAAGCAGAGGATGTTGTTTTGAAGAAATCAGTTTCTAGACACTATGAATGAGTGGGATTTTTAAGATTTTCGTGGATGTTCCAAAGGAAGATAACTTAGTGAATTGGACAGTTTTATCTGGTAAAATGGTTATTGTTGCAATCACGGGCCTTCTAAAAGCATCCTATTCTCCAGTTTCCCAGTGTCTTATGTTTGCTGGTTTTAGTTCAGTTTAGTTATTTGTGTATAGTCACATTACCTTGCTATCCTTGTCATCAGTTAATCATATATGATTGACTTGATATGAACTTTTAGTTACTGTTGATGCTGGTTGGTTGGCATTACTTCTGTAATATGTGGATTGCTAATTGACCTGATTAGCTCATTGTTTATTTCTTTTACTAACAGTGAAATTACTTCGGAAGGCCGACGTATTACGAAACTTGATCAGATTCTTCTCAATGGGAACAACATTGCAATTGTAAGCACTTATAGATGGACTTTTA